ACTCTAGGATATCTTACCAACCGCCCCACGTGGTCAGATGTTGCACAAAGCCGAAATTAATGTGGTGTATCCGAGCCCGTTATGCTCGGCCAAAAATCCCCACGAGACCCCGTATAAAACGGGATCGGGTAGCTGTTTCCCCAGACGAGACTCTGTCCTAAAACATAGCCTCGTCTGGGGATCCTCTCTGCCCGGCGGCATAGAGTTTGACCAGCACAGCTGGAGACGAATCTCCAACTCTAGACCAACATACAGTATTTACTACTGTATTTATGTGAATGAGGATATATCCATTATCGTCCGTAGGTATACTACAACAAAACAAATATAGCAATAAATGCGAGTTTATCCGATTTCAGTCTGCAAATTTGAAAAATCTGTCAGTTAAAGATGATCGCATTTCTTTTACAAAACCTTTTACAATAGTCTGTCTTTATATCTAAAGTTAAGATACTATCGGGTTCATTCTTACAACTGTTCACGATATGTGAAGAGCATCAGTTGGGAAACCAACAATAGTTTGAATGCAAATGGTGTAAACAATTCAAAACTCTGTTTGGGAAAATTCTATGAAAAAGTGGAAAAAGTTTATTTGTGCCGCCTTTCGTCCTTCAGGGTTTCATCGAACTAAATTAATTATGTTGGTAGGACTGCGCATGCGCACGACTGAGGGATACAGGGTATTTTAGAATTTATTTTTATCTAGCCGAATTCATTTAGTGTCTTTTTCTTTTTCTTTTCGACACTTTTGTAAGTAAGTATTCTAGACTGTGATATTAGAAGATCTGCCGGGAATTATGAAATATTGTAAGAGCCTGGGGACAAATTTATTGTAGATGACCTTGTGATCAAGGCACTCTCTAGACATTTATGTCGTAGTGAATTATTTTCTCCTTTGACCAGAGTAGCATTTTTATGTCAAAATTGTGGTCAGTCTCGTTACGGTGAACAACAAACGCGTTTGATGTATTATCTTACAAAATGTCCCTTTTGTGTTCATATAATCTTTTATTTAGATTCCTTGAGGTTTCTCTTATTTATTTTTTGTGACAATTATTACAGGCGATAGCGTAAACTCATTCCTGGTAGATCTTCTAATATCATAGCGTGGAATACCTATTTACAAAAGTGATGGAAAGAAAAAGAAAAAAGACTCTAAATGAATTCGGTTAGATAAAATAAAATATTCTACAATCCCTTGCGCCCCTCTGTCGTGCGCATGTGTAGTCCACCAACATAACAAATTTAGTCTGATGAAGTCCCGAAAGGACGAAACGCGTCACGAGTAAATTTTTTTCACTTTGTCATACAATTTCCCCATTACTGTTCTTGACATAAAATATATATATCGTTATCTCATAACAATTTGAAATAGTTTGCGTTAGGCAGTGACTGTCAGATTTTATTATGCAAGTCAATGGGTTCACAATAAAATTGGTATTGACTAATCTATGATGGTAAAACTTTCAGGATTTACATATATTTATTAAATATACCATGGTAATTTTCAACATTTATATACTAGAAATATCCGTGACATTACACAGTATTCCTTTCTGAAGTTTCTGATGAATCTTAATTCTTAAGTTAATGTTTTAATAACAATAAAATATTAGAAATTCCCCGATCGCTAATTATCTGAACTTAACGATTTTAACAAAATATTGCAATAACAATCATAAATAGGAATGCTGGTTGTTATTTTAAGAAGTAAGTGGGTACAAATGGAAAGATTTGAAGCTGACAACCTTTTACTGAAACAGACGAAGTATCAAAAGAACGGTTTTCTCCTTGACACCGTTATTATTTTAACTAACTTCACTCCTCGGCAATGTTTATTCTTTTTTATTTTATTTTTTTATATTTATAACCTTCTAAAAACTAATATAATTAAAACTAATGCGATGCAATCTTTATCATTTACCAATTCATAAAGAAATAAATATAAAACAATTTTTTATTCATAAATTTATAAACATTTACTAAATTACTAAAAACTATAAAGAAATCCTTATTATTTACCATTTTATAAAGTTCGAATCGATTGGCAAGAAAACCGATGTTTTGCCACCCATTTCAATAAGCAATCTAATAAATAAATAGTGTTTAATATTATATAAATTCACTTTCATATGTTTAGGATTATTAAAATTCTAATCATTGCTCTTTAAAACACTAAACTTTGCCAAGGGAGTAAAAATACTTAAAATACTGGCGGTGTCAACGGAAAAACTGTCCATTTGACACTCCATTTTTTTGAAGGTCCAAATTTGCTGGTTTTCTATTGGATTAATATCTGGAGAGGCGGGGTACCATTCCATTAATTTGCGTCTTTGAAACGTTATTTGTTTATCGTATTAGTTAACTTTGTAGAACGTGAAGAAGTAACATTGTATATTAATATATGAGTATAGAGATTGTACTCCTTTGCTTAGAGCATTTTAGCTGTGACCAATTCCACTCTGTCTTTTCTGAAATCTTGCTTTAATTCTTTCTATTTATCTCGACAACGTCACCAAATTTGAAAGGACTTATAATTATATTGTCAACAATAATAGCATCAAAACTTTACTTTATATTCCCACCTTTGTTTTATAAAACATATTAGTTGACTATTTACATAAAGAACCCAATCACGAGTCCAACCACCCCGCTCATCCAATATAGCTCTACATTCGTCATTAAAATTAATGTTGAGATATCAGTTTTCTTGTGCTTTTTACGCCAACTTACATGTTTCTCTTTGTAATATTTGCTTAAACATGGTAATTTGGTAGTTTTTTTTTTTCTATCAGTATTTTCAAGGTAATTGTTCTGGTGAACATTCCTCTTTTGTACCTCGAGTGTACGAATTTAAGCGCAGTACTAGATCGGCAACTAGGTGTCATTGAACAGCTGAAATTGCTAGATGTAACCATAAGTTCTATGCTAACAATTTCTTCTGTTCCACTTCTCGTTTGTGGAACTTTTTAGCTTCTTGCTTTCCAGTCAACTTTGATCTTCAAAAATGTAAATGCATTTATCAGTCGTCATTTTCTGTTTTCTTAACTCCTGTTCTTGTATTGTTCTCTTTCTTTGATAATGTTTTTTTCTTTTTCTCATAATCGTTCACACTCAGTAAACCTCTGCGTCTTAGTGGCTTTATTGCCTTGCTTGGGTGAAATCATTTTTAAAAATATTGAAGAGAGTAACAAAAGGCAGAAAGCTGAGGAGCGCCATGATTGACCACGTCCGTAAAGGACATTGTGATCATAAAAGAGAAGGTATTGATGAGAGCAATAAAAGACTTCGAGGAGAGCCATGATTATCCACGTCTCGAAGAAGCATTGCAACTGTAAAAGAGCAATTATTGATGAGAGCAACAGAGGACTGAAAGTTTTAGAGAGCCATGATTGCTCACATCTTGAAGGGACATAGCAATTGTAGAAAAAAAGTATTGATGAGATCAACAAAAGACAGGAAGCTGTGGAGAGCCCTGATTAAAAATATAAGGAGATGGTGTAGAATAAAAAAGACACTAACATCATTCGTAGTCAAACTGAACGTCTTTCATTCTGTGATATATATTCATCAAACTTATATTTTCCTGAACAAGTAACATCAAATTTTTTGTCTCTCATTCCTTACTTCTGATCTTAATTATGATTTTGATGGGAAAATATTACCGTGAATTACTCTAATTATCATCCATTTTTACCCCCCCCCTAGAGTTCAGGTCAATATCGCGTTGGCCAATAAATATCTTTTGTTAGCAGTAAAGAAAAAACATGTTAAAAAGACGATAAAAAGTAAACTCTAGCATAATTCAAAATTTTAACCCCGCCGTCAGCCAAGACT